CTAGGGGTCCATGCATGGCTCTGCTAGAAGTACATTGAAAGCTGTTCTGAAATGTAGTTCTTATTGATAAAAAAGTGTTAATGAAGTATAATCACATCATAGTGTCTTTGACTGAAATGCTCTGTCAAGCTTACTTCCTTTTGTGTTAAGTAATTCTCTGTAGAGTTTAATTGTACCATGGGAATTGATTTGCTGCTCATGTGGAGTCCACACTCAAGGATCTGCAAAAGACTGATGTTATGGCCTAGTTAAGAAGAAGACCTTTAATGACCATACCTGCTTTAAAAAGTGAACATAAATGATTTTACAGTAGAAGATGAGTGTCATCCACAGTGCAGGCAGCAGGATGCAAAATCTAGGGGAAAAATGGGTCTCTCCAGAAAAATAAGCTGTAGTGTAGAAGCATTCTCTTGCTTAGGCCCCTCAAATTCTTAGCTAGCGTCAGACAAAGGAATCCTCAGCCCAGGGAGTTTGGTTGCTCCATCTTTTGACTCAAATCCTCTGTGATCCCTGCAGTGTCACAGGTAATAGTGCCAAGCAATTAGACAACAGCACAGCAAGACCCCACCTGTATGATTTAGCTGTTCAGGTCTTCTTCTCAGCCAGCACCTGTGTTAAATATGGAGTGTGAGTAATGACCAACCAATTCAGTGATCAGAGAAGACCAGAAATGTGTCAGAAGACCCTTCAGCCCGCAAATGATGATGTCAAATTGCTCTGAGGAAACAACTCAGCCTTGTTCTCTGATTATTTCTTTGTTGCATTCATTTGTACCTGGTGGACAATTAGGGAGGTAGGGCTTTGTCTGCACTGAAGTGACCCCCACCAGGTTATCATCAACCAGGTGACACAGAAGCATGGTCACATCTCTGGCACCACTGGCTGTGAAACACCAAGTGCCAGAGAATGGCTTCCTGAGGAACATCACTCATACATTTGAATTTTTTTTTCAGAGCAACAATGAAAAGTTTCCTCAAGGATTTTCCAGGTGGAAAAGCAACAGAGTGTAAATTAATTCTGTAGCTCACAGCAAGAGAAAACGTCTTTCTGCTTGACCTTGTAAAGGGTGACCTTTCAAGGGTAAAGAAAATCCTAAAATCAAGGCATTACATTAAATACAGGACCTAATAGACTCCTTCCAGGGAATGTCTCACTCTTCCCCTTTCTGATACTCCTGCAGCTCAGCACACTGGTCTCCTTTCTGCCACACCACTGCTTCTGCTGGGCAAACCAGGAGCTCCCTTAAGAACATGATTTCAGCAGGACTTCTGGACCCCATGTTGTCACACTGTGTATATAACTTGGCAGCTGGGAGACTTAAAAAGTCCTGTTTGAGAGGGAAGACAGGGTGCATATGAACAAGGCAGTCAAAGGTGAAGGGAATAAAAATCACCACTGGCTATGACAGGATTCTGTGCATGCTGCTAAAGTGCTAACCTCACATATTTTTTCAGCCTCCTACCCTTTGACTCACTGCCCTTAGGGAGGTTAAGGCTGGGTTATTACTGGAAGCAATTGCATAACTGTGCCAGATGTTTTCTACTTCACTTCTCTAGAAGTGATAAGCTCGAGGTACCACCAGTTCCCCTTGCTGTCCTTGCTGCCAAGGCAAGGTGTGTCCTCAAGGTGTGTGCCAGGTAAAGCACATCTGGGAAGTCCTGTGCATTGACTGTGGGATGCACAGCTGGCTCTCTCTTCAGAGCCCATGGCTGCTTAGTAGAGGTTTTGTCCTGTCCCCAAGACAGGCTCTGTAGCAGGACGCTGTGTTAAAAAGGTTCCTGATAAATGGTGTGTTCTCCAGCTGTGTTACACTGTCATGGCTCACACACCTTCCCTGACTGTAATGTCAGCTTTGCCCTGCCTAACAACTTGGAACAGAACAAAGCAGAGGGGCAGGGGAAAGGATTAAACATGACAATATCTGATTTCCTTGCCTCATGTTCCACTAGCCTTTCTTGTTTGGCTTTCCTATAGCATCGTCTCTCTCTAAAATCCTGGACAAACACGCCAGCTGAGCCCCAGCTCCTGTCTGCACTGGGAAAAGACTCATGTTTGGGGCATCAAACATCTGGTTCAGCTGTAGCACAGAGAGAGCCCAATGGCCTTGCATCATGTTACCCAGCAAGGCAGGAACTGAGATGAGCACGAAGCCCTTCCCCTTGGCCACCTCAGCTCACACAGAAGGCTCTGGGAGACAGGAGAGGAGTGAGAGCCCCTGCACACCTCTGCAGCAGGTGGGTGCTACACCACATGGGTACAGCATGGGTGCAGGAGGTGGCACTGGCACGACCTTCTGCTGCCTTCTCTGAGCAGCCTGCCAGAGGGAGGCAGCAATTTGGAGTTGTACTGCTTTATAGCTAAGTGAACTTTCAATTTAAATGGGAGAAATCTTTGGTATGCCTATACACTATGAGTATCAGGGTTTTTTTTCTACACTGGCACTTCTGCTCATGGCTTTGTGCTATGAAGTGTGGATGGTCTCTGGGGATGGATGTCTCGTGGCACCTGGGGGTGCCTGTTCTCTTGTTACATAGCCCTCGGGAGAAACACTTTTTCCTTCCATGTGCTCCTTGTTTCTCTTCTTCCTGTATGGAGCTTGGCCCATTGCCTTTGCTCCTGCCATCGTGCACCTCTGAGGAAATCCTGGCTCCACTGTTCAACCTGACTTGAACATAACCTTAGGTCCAGCAGAAGAACCTTCACGAGATGCCCGTACCTGAGGAGAGAGGTAGTCCAGACAATAACTTAACAGACAAAGAAAACAGAAAGTCTATATGGATTTAATATATCTTTTTATATTGTAAATTTTTATCTGAAGAGTCATATGATTCAAAAAAAAGCATAGTTGATTGTTCTGAGTGCTGTTCAGAGACACATTTGTAAAAGTTTGGCTTTTTCTCCCCCCCTCCTTGGCAAAATTCTGAGTCGTACAAAAGCATAAATTAAAATAGCTTGTCATTTGTTACTGCATTAGGGATTATCTTTAATTCTCTGGAATATCCAAAAATATCTGCTAACATGTGAGCAGTTTCCTGTTTACACATTTTAAAATTATTAGATATTGTTCACTAGTTACCTTAGATGGATTTTATAATGGTATTTCAACAATTTATCTTACTCTGTGTGTGCTGTGCACTGTAAGTATCAAACAGACACACTGTGGATTTCTTATTCCTAAGGGTAAACAACCTTGTTTATAGCCTTTTTTTACAGCACACTGTATAAATTTCTTCTAAGGCAAGACCAAGTTTAAACATACTGTGGCTGTTTGTTTTAACATAGCTGAGAAAGACAGAAAACCTGTAAATACCTTGTATATGGCTTACCCTACAGATGGCCACCTCACAACATGCAAAATATGGTCATAGGACCATTTATAAAATTCAGCTACCAATCTGGTTTGCAATTTAATCTACAAAGTGCATTAAAATAAAAATAATTCATTTATGGTTTTGCCATGCCTGAATTTAGTAATTTGTTCATATGACACCTCAGAAATATGAGTTATATTTGACAGCCCAGCTGTCCACGTCTGGGAAAGGCAGTTCATCTTCTGTCAGACCTTTCTCTCAGGTTAAATTATTCAACAAGCAACTAAAGTGGATAATCTTTATTCATTCTGACATTTCCAGTTTCATTTGAAGTTTAGCTGGTGAAACTATTTTATGGTATTTCATTTCATTGTGTATCTTCCTGTTCCTTCTTGGTGCAACTTGCAAAATGTTCATAATGTCTAAGGTTTTCTGATAGGTGACCTTCCTTTCACTGTGGTCTGTGAAGCATTTTGTCTCCTATACAATGAGAAACCCCTTTTTATGTCTTTGGGTGTTGCTATTATTCCCATTGATTTATCTAAGTACTTTTTCCTGTCATACATTTTTGTGATATGAAATTAATTGCTTTGGGTTTGTTTGCTTTTGCTTTTTCTCAGGCTGGGAAAACTAATATCATAATTTGGATTTCCTTTAAAATAACAATACTGATGTTGTTTTCTTTCTTCTGTAGTATTTTTTTCTGCCTTTAGCTGAACAGCTAATACAATTTGTTAACTGGAGCTGAGCATATAAGTCTTGGGTTTTACAGTGAGTTTTTTCTCACTTGTCACCAAACAAAGCTGATGTAGGCATTAAGGAGAGACATTTCTTTGCTAGAGCTGCTGGTTTCCAACAGGAGTTCTTAGGTGAAAGTGCATGGACCACCTTAGGCATGATACCAGTGTCTTCAAGAAATGGTTCCACAGCTTTTTCTTTTCACACATGCCTGTTCTTCAAAGTCAAACGTTAAAGTTCACTTTATTGCTTGGCTTTGGCCTGAGGTTTGAGCATTGTGCTACAGTCCTTGAGGAGACTGAAGAGGATCATACTAGAGAAAGAAGTGTCTTTCTTGGATTATTTACTTCTGGTGGCAGAGGTGCAAAACTGTTTAAGGCTTCTGAAGCAGACAAGGATTCCCAAATATACTACTGTTGTGATAGTACAGAGAGTATTTACATCCAACCGCAGATACCTTTTCTTCCTGCAATTGCAGTCAGCAGCAAGCCATTTGTCAGGTTTTGGACAATTGGCAGTTACCTACAAAGCTAAAAAAAAGAAACTGAAAAGAAATCAGAGGAAACTTTACCAGAACTGGGTTAAGCGATTAAAATTACACAGAACAATATCTTACTTTGTTTTCAAGGGAAAATGTGTTTTCTGTAGTGGTCATAAACTTGGAGGTGTAGGACACATCAAATTTTTGTGTCATCTTTGTCAGGCAAAGCAGTGAGGACTTCAAGATTTGGAGGAAACTGCAGAATGAGGCATGCTGTGACTGGAATTTATCAATATTCATGATGACCTGTATTAGCTTATTAATTTCATCTTCTGTGTCAGTCATCCCAACTCAAAACACTATATTTTAAAGTGCTGATGAAGAGGAACTGTGAAGGAAGTATTGTGGAAATTTAAATCAGATTGCTGTGATTGGATGCTGCCCACAGCGAATATTACCATGTGCTGAACACAGTTCACATCCCCAACACTGTGGATTTCTGATGGGTTAAGGGAAACAGGGTATGAATCATTCAAAGATTTCTAATACAAGCATTACCCAAATAAATACCCTTCCCCCACTTGCAGAGTCTCTGGCCAAATACTGTCCCTCTGTTCCAGCTCCTCCTTGCTGCGTCTCCCTGTTTCCGGATGGGCCCTGGCCCCCAGCCCTTATCTCCTCCAGCCCCTGGGCTGTTTGCAGAGAGCAGTTATAAAGAGGCTGACAGAGCACGCAGTGGAGGGCAATTACAAGGTGCAGGAAAACAGCAGCACTGCTTGGCTCAGCACGACCTGCTCTGCACCATGGGGAAGGACAAGCTGCCCAGCAAACCGAACATCTTCCTCCTTCTTCTCTTCTTCCTTCCTGGAAATGCTCCTCTCAACACAGAACCGTAAGCTACACGTGCGGAGGGGGGAGGGAGGTCTAAGTTCTCCCTTTTTCCTGCAGTTTTCTTCCCACTAATAACCAAGCCCTGAGTTTCCTGCACAGCTCTGACAGTGCTCCCCACTCCCATCCCGTAATCCCCCAGCTCTCCAGTCCTGGGACCCCTTCCCACCACTACCTTTGCCAGTGGTCTCCTTCCACCCTCCCCCCAATCTCTGCCCACAGTGCCCACAGTCCTGCTCTGCACAATCCAAACCTGGATCCTCACAACATCTTTGCCCAGGTATGTTTCTGCCTAGAAACCTCTCAGGGCCTGGCATGTTGTGGGCATGATGATCCAGGTGCTTACCTTTCCCGGAGTGTCCTTGTTTCAATCACTGAGTTACTTCTCTCTATTCTCCTGTTGCTTTCAAGGCAGTTTGTTCCCCTTTCTCCTGCCAGTTTGTTTCCCTTGGCAGCCTCAGCTGTTCTGGTTCTCAGAGAGGATCTGTGACCTAGATTCCCTTCCTCCGGCACGGGGGCTGGTGCCAGCGCTCTCCCTGGACAGCCTTGCCAGGGCTGTGCAGCCCAGCAGCACGGCTGCAGCTTCAGCTCTCCTGGGAGAGGGGCAGCCCGGCATGGCACAGCCAGGCTGGAGCTTGGCGTGCCCACCCCAGCCTTGCCCACCAGACAGTGTTGCTCTGAAGCCTCTTGTCTGGGGGGGAGCAGCCTCCCTCTGCAGACCTTGGCTGCCGTTCCTCTCGCAGTGCTGGCAGAGGTGCAGCTCTCACCAGCACGGCTCCAGGAATGTTTGCTGTAGAGGTTTCATGCCCACCAGCACCACCAGCGCTGGCAGAAGGTGCAGCACCACTGCTGCCACTTGCTGTGTGGTCAGAGGTAAAGTTGCAACTGAAGGACCTTTGACTCACGCTGTACCATCAGTCTCTCAGTTGTCTGCCCTGTCTGGGGGCTTCTGGGGTAGATCAGCCAAGCCTGCTTTGGGGTCAGGCAGAGCTCTCTGGTCCCCCTAAAGTAATCTGATGTAACTAAGTAATTAAGTAATCCTAGTTCATTCTTGCCCAATATCAGGGGGAAAGGGAATGAAACCATGCTCCTCAGACCTATGGGCAACATAGAATCATAGAATGGCCTGGGCTGGAAGGGACCTTAAAGATCACTCAGTTCCAAACCCCGTGCCGTGGACAGGGACACCTTTCTCTAGACCAAGTTGCTCAGAGTTCCATTCAACCTGGCTTTAAACACCTCAGAATAGGGAAGCCACAGCTTGTCTGGGCAATCTCTGCCAGTGCCTCACCATCCCCACTGTGAAGAAATTTTCTCCCTACTATCTAATCTAAACCTACTCTCTTTCAGTTTGAATCCTTTTCCCCTTGTCCTGTCCTTTGGCAATAGTCTTTCTCCATCTTTCTTGCAGGCTACTTTCTGTCCCTTAACTGAACCCTGTTCTGGGAGGGAAGAACAAAGAAAGGCTGAGAGGTGGGAGAGAGTGGGGGTTGTTGGTGTCCCTGGAATGAAGACAGAGCCCAGAAGGGAGGCAGTTCTGAGCAGTGAACTGCTAGGTAGCATAAGGGTAGTGGTTTTGCTGTAGATGCGGTATAGCTCAGATGCTGTATACAACACAGAAAGGAAGCAACTCTTGAACTGAAGACAAAAATTAAACTTGCTTACTGTGTCCTATGCAAGTTAGGGGCATCACTTCTTCAGGCAGAAATAGCTGCTGCTATTTCTGTTTCAGAGGTGACCAGCTGGACAGGAGACACAATTAAGGCTCAGATTGCATAGTACAAAAAAGAATATTCATCAAGTTAGTACAGCACCAGAAGAGGCGACCCAGATAGATGGTAAAAACTTCATCTGTGGTGTCCTTTTCCCTCCTTTCCAGGAGGGAAAGTGGGCTTGAGATATTCAAAGGTCCTTTGTAAAACCAAAATTTCTATGATTTTGTAAGAATGTAGGCACAGGTATTGTTCTCCTACTCTGGTTGTGCATGTAAGGTGTTTTACAGTGCAATGGACATGCTTGGGAGTATTGTGCATTTGGTCATAAGTGTGAGGCCATAATGACACTTGAATTGGCAGGTATGGATTTGGGCTGATGAAGTTCACCGCTTTCTTTGGCTGGGTGCTTGTTCCAGAAAGCAGCTGAGAGTCAATACACAGACAGATATTATTCCAACTTAAGCTACAGTATTACCTTCCCTGCATAGACAAACTCAGCATTTTTATCTTAGCCACCATCTCCAGGGTCTCCTATTGCTCCTTGCTGCATGTCTCTTTCAGAGTCACTGCCTCTCTTGTCAGAGCAGCTCGTTGCATGCTGAGGTCTCTTTTGTCAGCCCAGATGCTTTTTGTCCTAGAGTGTCTGTACATGGGGTTTGTGACCATAGTTGCTTAAAACACTCATGGTAATTTAATTCATCTTTCTCTTCTAAACAACACATCCTAAAACACCTAAAGAGAGGTCTATAAACAGCATGTTTATATCTTTGTTTCATAGGCAGGGAAGCCAGCCTAAGGGGAAGTTCTGTAAGTTGGCCAAAATTTCAGCAGAACAGTGAACAGGAAGAGAAATGAGGCCAGATTCCCCACAAACTAGGTCATGCTGTCCTTTCTGCAGACTGGATGTTATTGTCACATTGGCAGTGCCACTGACAGGGGACAGAGGGAATGGCATTAGGGAAGCAGCATGGGCTGAAGCCATGGTAAGAAGGTTGTGGAAGAAAGGAAACGCTGGAGAAAGCAGAGAGTCACAAGCTGTAACTCACTCTCTGGGAGGCTGGAGTTCCCTCCTTTCACAGTTTCTGCAGCAGCGCTGGCTGAGCAGAGTTGCCAGCAGGCTCCTCGCTATATTTCATCAAAGTGATGCCTCATGTTGAAGGTACTGCCTGGAGCCCACTGCCTCCACAATAGCTTTAGGACTCCCCAGAAACCTCAGAGCCCAGGCAAAAATGTACCTCTGGATGGATGCATCTGTATTTTGCCTCTGTTCCTTTCTGAACACTTCCTGACAGTCTGTTACTTATTACTGATTGAGAATACTCCAAGGCTGACCAACAGTGGTCAAGTCTGAGTGGTAGAAGCTCACTTATTATTTTCCCTATATGAATAGTTCATTAACTATTTTTGCTACTCAGTTCTATCATACAAAAAAAAAATTTCCACAAATATCTAAGTTAATTTTTAGAATTTCCTTATCCTGCATAATTATGAGAAAATTGTACTTCTGAGATGTGAGGTATGTACTGAAGAACAGGGGTCTCAACAAACTGTGGAGGTTTTCACTGGTTCCTACCCCTTCTGTCCTATCTTTCAACCAATTAATCCAGATCAGAATTTGATTTATTAGTAAAATTATCCCTTTTATTGAATGGCAGCTTAGTTTAAGGGTCCTCTGTGAGGGACCTTTGTCAAAAGCTCTTTGAAGATGGAAGTACACTTGAGTTGCAATAAAACACTACACCCCGAAATCCTTTGTGTGCTCATCTTAATAAGGCCCCAAACTGCAAGCACTCACATCTTTGCTCAGCATGTGAAGGATTTGGAAACCTGGATAGGCAAAGACTGGAGCAGCCAGACAAATGGGTGGGTTTTTTCCTCAACTGTTTTTAGCTAATGCCTTTGACTCTCAAAAGGAGATTGTGGGATATACAAAATTCAATTAACAGCCTGAAACTTTTCAAACCATCCTTACTCCCTGCTGTGAAGCCAAACAAAACATCCTTTGTAAAGCACTCTCTATTAGCATAGAAATTGTTCCTTCTACTGCAAGCATTTTCCTGCTTTTAGGCTAATTAGTTAGACCATTTAATATGTATAAACCCAAAATAAAATGAATGCTCATGTTATATGCACTGCAATTCACAGGGATGGCAATGGATTAGGCATGCTGATTTGTTAATTTCTCTTCACTTAATACTGTTGCCTTAAAACTGTTTCACATTTCTGATCTTTCTTGCTTCCCGCTCTTCACAGGCAGTACATGGTGCTGGTGCCCTTTCTGATACACACAGATTCTCATGAGAAAATCTGCGTTCAGCTGACCCACCTGAACGAGTCTGTGACGCTGAGTGCCACGCTCGAGCACCTAGGGGAGAACAGGAGCTTGATTGATGATGTGGTGTCAGAGAAAGACGTGTTCACCTGCATCCCTTTCTCTGTGAGTATCTCATCCCTGTGGGATGATCTCTTATGTTTATTGATGTGGCATAGTAGATCCAAACAATCCAGAAATGAGAAATAAGACACACTGCAATCAGAGACCTCTAAGCTAAGTCAAACAAAAGAATTAACTCACTGTGGATGACTGACAGTGGTAATCTTACGAGGACTAATTTTCCCCTATTACCAAATTCTATGACCCACATGATACTTTTCTGCATACATGTATTAAGAGAAGTCTTTGGAACTTTGACTGACAGAATGTGCCCCATGTTTGCTTGATATGTCTAAGCCTGAGATTAAAAATATCAGCATGGAGTGAAAACTTTAGAAGTTGGGGGATTGTTAAAGACAGTGAGGTCCATGAAGTCATATGGCTGTTTCTGGAGCTTATTCCAAATTTTTTACTGCAGAAGGCTGGTTGGTGAGTAATGAAAGCAATAGATTCCATACCCTAATTAATGAATTTAGGTTAATTTTCTTTTTTGAAAAATCATGTTATGGAATAAGATCAGGTTCGGTATTTATCTAAGAAAAGTATATAAATGACGTAAGGTAATAGTTTTTTTCTTGCTCCGTGCACTGAGTTTTTTGTCCCTTTAGGGAACTTTCTGACCCAGCTAGCATTTCTTCCTTCAACGCTCAGTGCAATGGGGTGAATCAGTAAAGCACTTATCTTCTTCATTCTCCTTAGCTTCCAAAATCCAATAGCACGTCAGTGGCATTTCTCACGGTGACGGTGACAGGGGATACACTGCAGTTCAAGAGCCGCAAGTCAGTGCTGGTCAAGAATTCTGAAAGCTTGGTCTTCGTCCAGACAGACAAACCCATCTACAAGCCTGGACAGACAGGTACCAGGAATTGGGCTGGTACTTACTCCGACAATAAAAAATCTTAAGGGCTCCATTCTACAGAGGTGTCATACTTGTATTAAAGTTTTCAGGTTTCTTCATGGCGGGGAGGATCTAAGGTACTCAGTAAAGCTTATTTCTGTCAGCTGAGGTCTAGTTCATGTCACTTTCATCATTCTTAATCTTCATTCTCCAGGCACAGCATCTCAGTCAGATGTAGGCACAGGCTCCAATTCATTCTACTCAAGTAGAGGCACAAAACTAGGATGACTGCAAAGCATAATCTCCTTTGGCTGCACCAGAATCAACAAAGCAGGACAGGCACTCCCAAGAGACAATTCAATTCAGCCAAGACCTGATTATCCTTCTAAATTTATCTGCCTCTCACTATCTGCAAGAGAAAGAGCCTGAAGTAATTGTTTCTATTACTTAGAGATCTCAATTCAGAGCCTATTGATCCATGGAATAAATCTGAGTAATAAATTATTGAAACGTTGTCATTTCCTGGTGATGGCTACAAATTTAACAGTGGATTTTCCTTTTTTTCTGTGACACTCTTCAGTTCAGTTTCGGATCGTCTCCCTGGACAAAGACTTCTACCCGCTGAATGAGAAGGTAGAGCCTCAATTCCTTGTTGTTAGCCAGGAGATTTAATTCTTAAATTAACACCATTGTTGTCATCACCCAGAACCACTGAAGACAGCCATTAAAGCATATGATACTCTCTCACACCATGCTTTACCTGTTCCATATTCTATTCTAGGACACATTCCACCTGTCTCTAATGGTTGAAAAAAAAATCCCCCTTTTCAGAAGCATATAGATGTTTAAAACCAGCTTTGCAAATCAATGTATGTGGCTAAGCATGTGGGCAGGGATGTCATTACTGAAAAAAATGTGTGGGACAAGTTTCCATTGGTAGTACAGGTGTGCAGTTGTTTCTGGCAGTGGGTGAAATCCCACACTTAGAGAGTGGCATGACAAGAATTCAGTTTTATGGAACTGGTCAGGGGTGCAAGCTCACCTTTCATTTTATTTGACAATCAGTTCCTCATGCAGACAAGTTCTTTGAAATCTTGTGTTTCACCACATCTTCATACAGTGGTAAGACAAAAGGTCAGGACCCTAAAATGAAAAGATTCCCTTAGCCATCAAGAACCAAGAAAAAAGAACAAGTACAGAAAGGGAACAACCCAAAGGACTTCTAAGAAGTTTGTTCTTCTGCCCTTCAGTCCAAATCTGGAAATTACTTCCCTGTGATTAATATTTCTAACATTGATTTTCTTTTGTTCTTTCCCTACAGTTTCCCTTTGTCTACGTTCAGGTGAGTGGATAACTACATTATTATTTGCAGAAGAATGTGCAGGCACAGAGCTACCAGTCTCCAGCAGGGGTGTTTTCAGGCTGAGGGGCAAGGGAAAAATCACAGGCATGTGACCTTTTCTCTTTGGTTGAAGGAAGGCTGAGTAGCTGGGCATCAAAACAAGTTCCAATAATGGTTCTTTGATCACAGAATGAGTTGTAGGAGAAAACTAATTAACCATTACAAGCCACGCTGTGAACAGAACTACACTTGGCTTGAGGTTATCAAAGTGGCTTATTCCTCTTCCCAGTCAGAACTAAGTGTTTCTCTCTGCCAAGTGTAGCTGAAATTAGAGACCAATGTTAAATAAGCTACCAAAACCAAACAAACTAAATTAGGTAAGTAGACATTCCCTGCCCTCCCAAGCACATTCTTTTTGTCTGTTTGGTTGGGGTTTTTTTAATGATTTAACTTCAGTGGCAGGCAAAAGTTAATAGGAAGGATGTTTCAATGATTTAAGCTCTCACTTTTTCAGATGAGAACCCAAAATTTACAATTATTATTTCGGATATCTTCTTTTGAAAAAAATTATGATGACATGGACAGACCCTGTAATTAGTGTGCACAAAATTTATTTTGGTTTACGTGATTAATGAGTCCTGTGTAGTCAGTCCTTTTACTGTTCCTTGCTGCATGGGGTTGCTGTCTCCATTCTGCACCATCTCTGTCTAGAGCTGGAGAGTCATCACAATAGAGGAGGCATAAGGTAGGCCAAAACCAGCTGTGCTGCTTTATTGTATCCTCTTTTCAGAGTGCTGTCATTCTCCCTTCCCATCAACAAACTTCCAAAAAAGAGCTGCAGAGCTGGTGGGCCACTGATGATCTGTGAATATTGGAGAAAGAAGAGTGAGACAGTGGGAGGTCAGGTGGATTTGCAGGCCAAGGGGAGCGTCTCAGAGCAACCTTTTGCTAGGGATGTCCCATGGAGTCCCTTCCCTTCCAGTGAGATGATACTTTACTGACTACAGGAATTTAATGAAAGGAGTAAGAACAAATACATTTTCTGCAGACATACACCTCCAGAAATATGTCTCTGATAAGCTGAATAATTTAATAACCTTTGTGTTTATGTGTCAATATCATGAAAGCCTTCACTTTTAAATCCTAGTAAGGACATCTGTTATTTCAGCTCTAGCCTGTAAAGCATGGTGTTTGTCTGTGCTGTTTAAGCCAGCTCATGTAGGCCTTGTCCTTCATCCTCACCATCCCCTCTCCCTTCCTGAATGCTCCTTCTCAGCCCAGTACTGCCCTTTGTTTGCATTTCACAGCTGTCTACAAGGCATTCTCGTAGAGTGGGAACTCCTGTGGCAGAAAATTCACTGGTTTGCTCTAGAGTACTTTCTTCAGCCAGAACAGATCTGTCAGTGCAGTTTACCACATGATTCCATGAAATTTGGACTGGACCAAAGGAAAGAGTGGCAGGAGTGAAGAAAGGTGACAGCCTAAGTGTCAGCACTTCTAAGGAAATAAATGTCCATCAATCCACATCCTGGATGCTACTAATTTATCTTAGTGAAGCACAAAGGCAGAAGTTACTCTGAGTCTGCTACTTCTGAACTGTTATCCTGATCTGTTGCTTATGGAATTAAAAAAAGAATAGAACACCTTTCTGAGGAAGAAAACAAACTTGTTTTCAGGCCTTCCCTATAGATACATCACAGGAATGGCAACAAGTTCACAAACCCAGCTTGAAATGTAAACATTTACTATAAATATTTTCTTGAATTCCTTTTCCAAGGAAGCTCAGTGATGTCCCTCACAATAAGTGGTGAGCTTTTCAGCAGGGTTGAAACATGATGATGAAGAGGATTTGGTCAGAGCCATGGGATGCATTTTACTGACTGTGCCACCCTCCCAGGTGGCTTCTTGGGAACACGGCCCCTCTTCTGCCTTTTCTTGATTGATGACCTCCAGCTGGGAGAATATCATTCACATCTCCATTTTCCCTAAGCCCTGAGATAATATCTCAGTGAAGTTAATGCACATAGTCACATACCTTGAGTCACACACCTATCTAGAGTAAATAAACTTTTGGTGACAGCCAAGGTACAAGGATGCATTAAACTACACAGAATCACTGTGCTGTTTCAGTGAGTTCTACAAGAAATTTGGGGCTCAGGGGATTAATTATTGATGGTCAGTTAATAATGAGCAATACACAAATGTAGTAGTGGTGAGACTTCAGCTCCAGCATTAGAAGCATGGAGATACAAGGGAGGATCAGCTGGATGCCTATATGTGGAAGTATACTTTCTTCTGTTCCTGTCACCATTCCCCCACCCAACCACTAGCTTAGGACTCTTATACATGTACATTTCTCAGTCCTATAGATAAATCAGGTGTCTACTTCCTCAGCAGATTGTATACTGGTACTTCAGCAGTCTTCATTCCATCCAGGGGAAAACCAAAACTTTTGTATGCTGTATGGCCAGTCAAAGAAGCTGAAACTCCCCCTTTTCTCCATGTGCTTCACTTACTTCTGATATCAGTTCTGTTCCCTTCTGTTACTCTGCCAGTCTGTCTTGCCTAGCTTCCTGGCCCCGTCCTTTGTGGGTACAGCTGAGGGGGAGACAACACAAAAGTGTTTAAAAGTTTTCTTGCGTGCAAGTTACACAGAATTGGCAGGTACGTACTTTCAGAACCTCACAGATGGTTAAATAATGACAGATTGTTAAATAGGTAGGTATTTCCCATCTGGGATGTGCATGCACTGGGCACTGCACTGCTCTGTCCCTGGCATTCTCCTGTACTGTCTTGTGACACTGTTACCCTCACCTGCAGGATCCCCAGAGGAACCGGGTGTACCAGTGGCAAGGGGTGGAACTAGAAACAGGCTTTACACAGCTCTCCTTCCCCCTCACCTCGGACCCCATCCAAGGCTTCTACAAAATTGTTGTGCAGAAGAGCTTCTCATCCCATGTGGAGCACACCTTCAGTGTGGAGGAATTTGGTAAGGAGAGGAATTTCGCAGTAATGCCTTTTACTGTGACGACTTAATTTGGAATTTCCTGGGAACAACATGGAGAAGGGAGGGACAGAATATAACAGGCAATGGGGTTCATAGGGACTGAGCCAGAGAGCACTAAGTATCAGAAGTGGTTGGTTGCTGACTTTATGGCATCTCTGCAACCTGCCCGAGCTTGTATTTGCTCAAAGTGCTCTGGGGAGCACAGGACATGCCAGAATTCCTGTGTATGGCTTGTGGCATCGATTTCAGCTGGCTTTGTCTCAGTTGATTCCAGTCCAGCAGCTTGTTGCAAGTAGCACTAGATATGAGTGTAAGAGGTGACGATATTTTGGTGGCTCTATTTTGCTTCTCTCATCACCTGCATAAGGTCTCTTTCCCATTCATAGTCCTCTCTATTTTTGCTCTTCCTTTTTTCTGTGAAAACTTAGACAACGTGTTTGGTAGAAAACTTGTGATTGGAGAACAATCCATGAATGTTACAAAAAGACTGCTAGGAGAGACTGAGTAAGGAGAAATATGCTGCTTCAGGGAGCCTTTTAACCCCCAGCTCTCTAACAAAGCCTCTTGGGTGATCATAAACATGCATTCTGACTGTAGTGCACATTTGAGAAGGCTGATTGGCCAGTGCTTCACACTCCCAGGCTCTTCACTGACTCTGCATAAAGACCAGATGTTTATTCCAGAAACAGCAGATCCATTGATCAGGACCTGCTGTTTTGGGAATATGCAGCCCATAGATTACCATTGAAGTCCATGAGAGATGGTTTATTTGGCTTCGAGTCGGGCATGGTAAATAATTTGACCACAAGCCAGGCTATAGGCTGCAACCTGCCATGGTGACAGATGGCCTGCTCCTCGTCCCACAAAGACTATTCTGCATGCCCCAAAATCAAAGATGCTATGTCCCTTTGTTAGCCTCCTCCTAAACTGATTTTTCTTTCCTTTGTCCTTTAGCCTTTTTCTTATGAGTCGCTCCCATTATTATTTCTCTTACAGTCTGGGGCTGAAACATTGAGTCTTCCCATCTTAGAGGCAAATTTCTGTCTAAACTGTATAAACCAGGGTTATTTTCCTTTTCCTGGGTGTGCACCCAGTCTGCTGTCATTTCCTTGAACTGTGAAAAAACCCTCAGCCGCACCACCTGGAAGCAGGACATTACATGCTCCTGTCCAGTCCTGGGCATGAGGAGTTGGAGATGTAGGGCTGCAGGATGCAATATGGGAAGAGGGATGTAACACAATGCTCAGGAGCAAAAATATGTATTTTACTTGTGCCCCTTTATATTGAGCTCTAGTGCTGCCTTTTCCACTTGAAAATATAGATCTGAGAGTCTGTGGCTAGATTCACTTGAACTCTCTGGGTATGCAGGATGATATCCCACGGTGATACCATCTAAGTGAGCTTAGGAGCAACTCTGGATCTCCAGAACAGTAAGAATCAGCCATGAGAATCAATGATTTGGAGCTTTTCAATGTGATAAATTACAAAGGTGGAACATGCTGCTCCAAGTCCCACCTGCAAATTATGCATTGTGAAGACATCACACAGGACCAGTGTGTCCTTGTGAATGGACACGGGTGATGGATCTGCTGAGCTGTCTGGTGCCATGTAAGCCTGTGCTGCCAATATGGTAAGATAAGGACTACAAACTTCCTTAATTGCCTTTGAACCCAAAGTGTGCTGAAGGCTGAGAAAACCTAGGAAGGGGTAGAGATTATATTGAAGACCACAGAGAGGTTTATATGAAGATGATCCTGGCCCTATGCTTGGGTTGCTGTGTAGTACACAGCTCCTATTCACTCTTCTCATACCAGACTTTCTCTCTTCCATCTAGTGCTGCCCAGGTTCGAGGTCCTGGTGAAGGTTCCAGAGGTGATCACTATTAAGGACAAAGAGCTTCCAGTGTCTGTCTGTGGTCTGTGAGTCACAGAGCTCCAGTAAATCTCTCTTGCTTATCCTTCACTCTGTCTTTTTGCTGAGGACCAAAAGAAATGCTCAGGGAGGGTTTTTTAACTTTTCCCAGGCATATAGTGAACACTTATTTCATTCTGTCAGTCCTGAACATGTGTTCTTGACCTGAACAGTCGAAGTGAAGGGTCTTCCCTGTGTTCCTTAAAAGATTATGTCAAACAAATCTGCATCTTCCTCTTCCCAGATAATTTCACATTTCCTCTTTCTGTCTTTACACATCTTTAGGTAGAGCTTTTATGCCAATACTGAACCCTCAATTACTCCAAGATGTCAGATCAGACATCATTTGAATTGGTGATGCTAACCCAGTGTTCTCATTTTTAACTCGCTCATAAATTGCTCCTTCTGATTACCTGTTTGCCTTTCCATTTCTTTATTGAACTCTGAGCAGTTTGTAATACACAAATGCTCCTGGATGAAATAATTTTCTGAATTCAACCTTTTTCTGCAGAGATGTACCACCTAGAACGGGATGAATGTATCTTCCATGGATGATGGAAGAATCTCACTATGGAAGTGATGGAAATCATTAAAATGTCAGATTAGTCAGCTTTTAGAAAGTATTAGGAAATCATCCACAGAGGTCTTTAAGGAGATGTGTCTGAGGGTGACTGTGACTGTCTCCCTATCTGATACATTGTTTAACACACCTAGGTACACCTATGGGAAGCCCGTTCCTGGTTTGGTGAATGTCCAAGTGTGCCGGAAATTTTCCCAGTCTGCTTCAAGTTGTTACGGAAAAGAAACAGAATCCGTGTGTGAAGAATTCACTAGGCGGGTGAGTCCCAAGATCAAAATGTAGTGTTTTTTCTGAAGGTTAATGGGCAGTGTTGTCTCAAGAAAGATCAAATATGTTTGGAGATAGTAGGCATCAGAGATAGCATTCTCTCCAGGGAAAAGCAGACAATCTCAGAGGAAGGCAATCTTAACAGAGAGATCATTAAACTGGAAACAGAACTGATGATGAAAACCTGACTCCATTGAAACTAGTGACAAACCTCCAGCTGCCAGCCATGAGGTCTTTGCTATTGTTCCACAAACTGAGAAAAGAATCTTTTTTTAACTGTGAGAGGGACTGACTGTGAGCAAGGAGCAAAGATGAGGAGAAAACAAGAAGGCTGTATAGAGAACAAGGAGAACAAAGATAAGGTGGTATTGTATATGGGTCAAGTAGAGGAGAAAAAGCAACAAGATAAAGAGAGAAGACAATGGAAGAAACAGGAAGAGAAACAGATCTAAGGCAGGAGAGAATTAACAAGGAAACCAGTGTGACCCTTGGAAAACTGTGTGTCAGGTACCTCACAGAACACAGAAAATATGTGGATGAAACACTAGGAAACAGGCTCAACAAAAGTTCTGGTTTTGGAGACAACCCTTGCAGAAATTCTGGAATTTAATGAACAGCAGTTTAGCATGTTGGGCTTCGGGTAACAAGCCCATTCCTCAATGCACAAGCTTTGTTCACAGAATCTCAATTTTCTCTCCAATCACTTGCTTAGGCAGATGCTCGTGGGTGTGTTTCTGGCATGGTGAGGACCAAGGTGTTTCAGCTCCTACGCAAGGGATATGAGATGAGCATCGAGGTACAAGGCAAGATCACAGAAGATGGCACAGGTATGAAGGACATGAAGGCAAAATGATGGCAGGCCATAACAGGAGCAAACCTGTGGAAGGCAAACATGTGGAAGGTGGAGTAACATGACTAGAAATTCATTAATAATCCCTCTTTCCTCTGCTCTGTCTCAGGAATAGAGATGACTGGAACAGGCTCCTGTGGTATCACATCCACCATGAGCAAAATCCACTTTGACCTGTTGGACTACACGTACAAACCAGGGATCCCACTCTTTGGGATGGTAGGGAACTTCTGAGACCATGGGCAATGAGTGGCACAGCAAACACGCAAGTGCACAATCCCATCAGATGGAGTAGTGGGGTGTGTGGGTTACATGGTTCAAGAGGCAGCTGGTATGTGGTGGAGGTCCCAGATGAAGCTGGCCGGGGGAGTTAAAACTATTGAGCAACTTAGGATCCTAACAGAACATTTCCATGGGCTGACTGCTTTGTTTTGCTGAGAATTTTCTCAGTTGTTCCCTCAGACAACTCAGAGCATGCATGCCTCGCACATTTCCACATCATTTTCCTTTGTTCTTCTCTATCAAGAAATATCCTGCTGGCAATAAGGAAAAGAGGGAAGAGGCTGTATTACTTGGGAATTGTTTTCTGTTGCTAGTCTAAAACCTGAAGTTTGTTATTGCTTTGTTAGGTGAAGCTGGTCGATGGCACTGATACTCCAATTGCCAATGAAACCATCACAATTACTGTGGGTGGAAACAAATACAAAGGGAATTACACTACAGATGAGCAAGGACAATCCTGGTTTTCCATAGACACTACCAGCTTCACAGAACTCTCCCTGGAAATCCGAGTGAGTGGCAGAGACAGGGGTAAGCCTCTGTCTTACTCTTCAACAGGGGAAATGTCTGTCCATGGGTTATCAGTCTTTTCTGCTAATTGGAAAGCAAGGCAAGTTTCTTGGTGGGTCACCTCACTTCCCTGTGCCTTCTCTGCATGTTATCCACAATCTCCTAAGAATGCGAAATACAGAACATATCCAATTTTTTTCTGTGGACTTCTTTGTGTCTTTATAGCTGATTTTGTTTGGCTATGAACCTTTTATTCTTCCTTCTCAGGCAGATCATAAACCTGAACTGAACTGTTATGACAGTGACTGGATGACACCATCCTACGAGCATACCACACGCAGAGTAACTCGCTCTTACTCCCTCAGTAAGAGCTTCCTCAAAATTGAGCCAAAGCCCGAGACATTAAGTTGTGGCTCCTCAGCAGAGGTCCAAGTGCACTATATCTTCACACCAGAGGCCATAGGGGAGCAGAAGAAAATTGTCATTTATTATTTGGTAAGACATATTTGGGGTTACTTTGATCTACAGTCACAGAAAGTCCTGTGTAACCTCTGTGTATGTTCCATGATGAGCAACCAGAGCACTGCTAGATGGCCAGGAATGATGGAGAGCATTTGAAATGGAAAGTGTGGCCTGCAACAGTGCAATCTAAATAAACTTCGCTAATCTTTCTCTTTTCTCTGTCTTCTATGTGCAGAATTTTGGGAGACCGCAGTAATTGGAACAGACTGTAATATGCTGGCTTTAAGAACGATTAATTTGTCCATTTTGGGGATCAGAGAAGAGAGACTAATTGAACTGTGACCAAACAATGACATGTCAGTCTCTCTTGGGAAAACAGGAAGATTCAAATGAATATCCAAATAGAATGTCTTTCTCCCTAAATTTGTTTTTCTGGTTATTCTATTTAATGACACTAGCAGAGAAGATGAGAGTAGCTTTGGAGAACAATAAAAATATCAGTGGAACAGACACTTCAGTTCCGGTGGATTGCACAGAACATCAGGGGATTTAGGCTGATATTGAAAAAAGGAAATAGAAACCTATGCTAGAGATGTCTATGTGCTTATTTTCAAGACTTCTAACAATTCATGGAAGGACAAGATACCTGTTTACCCCAGTTGCCTGGGAAAATTGATTTTAAGTATGTACATACTTAAAGTGGGTAAACAAACAGCAAGAGAATTTCCATTATTACAGATGTGGATCCCACATCTTGAAATTCAAATACGGTGTTATGGAATAAATATTCAATTTCAAAAGTAACTGAATAAAAAGCATTTTTGACTGTGCAAAAGAAATCTTCTAGAAATGAGGGAATTACAGGAAGCATTTAGGCTATTGCTTACTGCCTGACTCCAAGTACCTTGTTCAAGCTCTTATTCTTTGCATCCTGTGGTCTTCTGTCCCAACTTTGTGCAGTTATAAAACTAATCCTGGTGAAATTTTTCTTCATACTCTTTCATGATGCAACTGAGAGAGGAATGAGGAGACTTTCTGATCTCCAGTCTGTTCCAAATTGTTAAAAATGTTCAGATGTGTGGTTAGAGGCAAAATGCATTTGAACCTGATCTATATATGTAATATGTACAAAAGCAGAGATAAGCATTATCTTCCTAGGAGCAAATATTTCTGTCTCCAAAGACCCAGTAAATTCCAGCTTGGCACTTGTTTAGAATCTTCTTGGTGCTGTTCACACTCTTACAATTAACCCAGTGAACATTCCTTCTCCTTCCAACACTGGGAACAACAATTCCAGGAAGATTTCTCTGTTACACAGGTGATGGCCAAGGGACAAATCGTATTAGCTGACACCCATGATCTGCCTGTGAATCCTGGAGATGGTGAGCAGATCTATGCGTATTTAGCATTTCTGATGGTAATTTGGAGCAGGGGGGATAGAGATAAAATGCTTCAATTCAAACACTGAATTTAACATTTCATTCAAACTTTGCATGTAATACTTGAATTTTAAAAATTAGGTCTTTTCAGATGAAGTGGTTTTGGTTTTCTCTGAGTTCTAACACGTGCTACTTTTTAATGAGAAAATGTTAGAAAATTCAACCAAAAATAAGTGTAATGTTTTGGCCATTTCCTAAAACCAAACTCATGTGTTTTGTCAATTCACAATCAGTCTTTGAATGCAGGTGTCTTCCGCAGTAACCATAAATTTTAGTTATGTGACAGTTGGCCGGCCCCTGATAACTAAAAATGTTCATCAGGAGTGAATTGACTTTTTTATTTTTGGTGAAGGCAAATGCATATACTGGAACCTCTTACATACTGAATAGTCTTTTGTTCTCTCTGTTAGCTTCTGGGACATTTCGGCTGAGCTTCTCTGTCGAGGCAGCAATTGCTCCCGTGGCACAGATGCTTGTGTACACCACTTCACCCAGCGGGGAAGTCATGGCCAGTTCACAGGATTTCCAGGTTGAAATGTGCCTCCCCAATAAAGTGAGTTCAAGTCATGGTTTGTGCAACCCATGTTTTCTTATGGACAGCAGCTCAGTTTGGATTTCCAGAATGAAGGCAGAATTCACAATGGGTTCATAAAATGTCCTGACCAGATTTTGGCTGAGGACTGGTGACCAGAATAAACTACAAAACTATGAAAACAAAAAAAGGGGAGCAAGACAGAAACAAAAAGATAATCACTCATCCTTATTAATTGCATAGATCAAAGATGAATATCCTTTAGACACTAGCTGACCTCAGTTCACACAGCTAGAAGTGTCAGAATAATAATGTAACAATGTCTGGAAAAGCAGTTCCTTGAACTTCCTTTTGGATTTGCAGGTGAGATTGAGTTTTGCACCCAAGGAAGGTCTTCCTGCTTCCAACACACATCTGCAACTCCACACCTCTCCAAGATCCCTGTGTGCCCTCCGTGCAGTGGACAAGAGTGTTCTCCTTATGAAGCCTGAAAATGAGCTTTCTCCCAGCTCTGTGAGTCTTGGCTACTTTTGGTAATGAGCAAGTGCAAGAATGAAGCAAGCACTCACTAACAGCACTATATATAACACTATGGGGCTGTGTATTTTTACAGTTGTATAACTTACACTTGCTTTTGAGAAGCTGGCATTTACCAGTGGAGTTTAGGTTGTATCTGTCCCTGTAAGTGGTGACCTGCTGCATTGTTCCCTGTTCTTTGCATTTCCTCAGGTATATAATCTTCTCCCACTGAAGGAAAGCCAGGGTTATAGCTTCAGGGACTACTACTTGGAAGAAGACAATGTCAATCCATGTGTGTCACTTGACAATCTGTCATTAAATGGATTTCTCTACATACCCATTTCTTCTGATGGTGAAGGGGATGCCTACAACATTCTCAAAGTAAGCACCAGCCTTTCATTTTTCTCTTTTGTTCCCCTTTTTAATTCCCTCCTCTCTTCTTCTCACCTACCCTGAAGGGCTTTTTATAAAAAAAAAAATAGTTAATTTGCTCTAAATTTGCTTATGTTTGTATGCAAGAAAATAACCAGGCCCAATTCCCTCATCTACTTATCCCATACATAGTAACTCTAAACCCTTAAAATGTTAAAAGGTCTCCTCATAGTAGAGATATCTGCAAATGGTCTTGGGTAGGGAAACAGTCCTTAGAAGTTACCTCTAGTGCCATAATATTAGAAAGTCCTCATTCACTTTTATGTGAAACCTTTCTCTGGTTTAAATAGGTCTTCATTAAAGCATCAGTTAATTTGATAACCAAGAAATCCATGCATACCCACCCAAAGAGTCCTGCACAAAGTTTTTTGGGTACCCTCACTCCAGTGCATTTCACACGTGCCATTTTCATGCAGGCAGCTGTCCCCAAGGTAGGCGTGTGGCCTTACCTTTCCATCTGATCATGCCAGGATTTAGCTTTAGTATGAGAATAACGTGATAGAGACTCCCCATCTGTGTCAAACCAGCCTATCTGGAATTTACATACAAGCCTTTGTTATTCTGATCAATACCAGATTTAGGTACATCCATTCTTGACATACTAAATAAAGTTTATTTTCAAACAAATTTTTTGCATATTTTTTGTTCTTCTTTCTCTTTGTTTACTAGGAATTGGGCTTAAAAGTCTTCACTAGCAGCAAGATCCATAAGCCTGAACTCTGCGAGCATTACCCAGAACACATGATGGAAAGGAGTTACAGTGGTTCTAGTACCTTTTTGGTTTTACCTCCCACACAACCTCCCAAAATTTACCACCCTGCTTCTTTCCTTCCCTCTTTGAACCTTTGAATATTAATTACACAGGCAGATCTGATTGTGTTCAGATATGCTGACCTAATTCAGGATCCCTCCCTTCTGAAACTAGTCCTGCAATATGAAACTGATTCACCTCTGCCTACATCTTCCCAGGCAGCCAGATGTGTGCCTGGCTAGAACTGTGTGTGCTTGGTGACTCCCATGACAGCCCCTACATCAGCAGAGGGCTTGTAGGCACTAAAGGAGTCTTTCAGCACAAAGTAATGGAGGTTCTTTCCCATCAGATCTGAGTCCAGCTATGGAAGCCTAAAAAAGGAGCATCTGTCTCTAGGCAGCCACATTCTAGCTAGAGGAGCAACTGGGGCGAAAATGGACCAAGACAAATGAGAAAGTGGTATAATCTCATGGGTTGATAGTATATCACTGAGGGCTGAAAAATTTGGTTCTGTTCCCAGTTTCCCTATTTACATGATTGTAAGGGACTAGGTAGGTCATGTCACTTCTCTGCAGATTCAGTGACTGTGAAGACAGAGAATGATATTGCTTTTTTTTTGCTTGCATTCTTAAACAGATCTGAGATTAGAAAGACTATATAAAAGAATCACCTATATCGCTTCCATTTTCTGAGTTTTATGCTGCAGTATCCCAGCTCCAATTAAATAATTGTAGCTTTTGGTCCAATGACAGCTTATAGCCTCCTATTCATAAGGATCAGATCTTTGGTTTTGAAAAGGGGGATTTGTCATCAGACTATGGCTCAAGACAGCTGTCTGCTTTGGTAAAATGTAAAGTCTTCTAAGGCTGATGGAAAAGCCTTTCATAAGGCACAACAGCATGCAATACTGTGAGATGGCCAGAGATGTAAAGACCCATTTTCATTTTTAAAAAATTCCTAGATGGAGGGCTTAGTGTGGCTTCTGTTTCTGGTCACATATAAATGCAATCAGTTCTTCAACCAGATTATTAAACAGTGTGCCACCATAATATCTGGGGACAGTAAGATTCACATTTGATTCTGTATTGCTATAGAAGTATGCCCTCATATCGTCATGCATGGTTCTTTTGGCACTGAGGGGTTTGCTGGTGGTGGGGGAAGAATGCTTAAATCCATCCAATCTCTGTAGGAAGAGTGGCAACATTAAGAAAAATTAAATACTGAGATGGCAACAGAGAAATTTATGTTTACAGTGGCTAAGATATCAAAGCTGTTCTTAAAATTGTAAAATTTGACCTAAGTATAACAACTACCTGGAAGGAAAGTAGTTGTCCTGGTTTAGAATGGAGTTTGACACATCTTTTCCTTTCTTCCTGTAATTGAATAAATTTGTTAGTCTCTGCAATGAATCTGCATGGAGAATTGAGTTATGGCATGGCAGAAGATATGGTTGATGGCAATCAGATGGAGACTGTCCGGAAGTACTTCCCTGAGACATGGATCTGGGACATTGTTTCAGTGAAGTAAGTGTTCAAGATAATGGTGAATGTGGTCACTAGGCCAAAACCTTGGACTAGGTTAAAGCCTCAGTAGATGTATTAGTATTTCAGTGAGAAGAGTATTTATAGTAGATAAAGGGATTTTTTTAAGGAGATTAAGTATAGGATGCTTTAGAGGAACATGTAAAAGCCAGTGCCTATATCCCAGCTGGGCATGGGTTTGCTGTCAGCAGATGTTGCTCAGCAGGAGAATAGATGAACACCAGAATACAACTAAAATCTTGTTGTCTGTCCCTCACCAGCTCTGAAGGAAAAGCTGATCTAGAAGTGACCATCCCTGACACCATCACTGAGTGGAAAGCCAATGCATTCTGCACTTCAGCAGACACGGGCTTTGGCCTGTCCCCGACAGTGTCCCTCAGAGCCTTCCAGCCCTTCTTTGTCGAGCTCACCATGCCCTACTCTGTGGTGCGTGGGGAGTCCTTCATGCTGAAAGCCACTGTTTTCAACTACCTGCCTGCCTGCATCAGGGTAAGAGATGTTCACAGCTTTGCTCAGCCTAAAAGCCATGGGGAGACTCCAGCAGATCATTTTTAACAAGGTGTGCTAAGCCAGATGACTGATCTGCAAATGTAATTTTATATAGGTGTACATATGTACGAATCCTTGTTGTATTCAATGAAGAGGGAGAGTGTTTTCCTACCAAAGTTTTGAAAGCTGCTTTTGATTCAGAGCCTGAAGCTCTGCTACTGAGACCCCCAGCCTTGTCATGACAAATTTATGTCACTGTTCTACAGAAATAGAGAACCTGGGTTCTTCACAGATCACAGAGTCATTGCATAGCCAAATGGAAATTCCAGGTTCACCAGGGTGGAAATTTGTGTTCAGCCTTTAGGCTCATCTCACAAAACTTCACAGAAGATTTGCTGGAATGTGCAAACTTCCTGTAATTTGTTGCTTCTGATCCTAAAACACTGAGGACAGCTATATAGCTTCACTATTCTCACCTGCATTGTTTTCTAACATAAAAAGACAAGAGAAAATCTGGGGAGGGATTAGTACATAATCTCAATCACCTCTGCTTAGTTTTTCATAAATATGGATTTTTATTCTAAAAACAATGAAGCTGAAACAAGGAGGGACACTTATCCAGTCATTCCAATGTATTCTCACTTATATCCCTGTATGTCTTATTTTGTTTGTTATTTTCAGGCTCTTTATTCCACTTTTTCTTGTTTTCTTATTTTACTTTTATTTGTTCCCTTACTAGCTTTCCCACTTGCTGGTATTTTATCTCTTCACCTAACTAATCACGAGGGAGATCTTTAATTCATGGCACAACTGGTCTGTGTTATTCATTTTCCCAGAATCAATTCCTTTCCAGACATGCTGTTCTCTACACTCACGTCCCTGATCTCCTACAGTTGTATAAATTTCAATAATTTCCTCTTTTATCAGGCAGTTCTTGCTCTGCAGTGCCCATAATAGGTAGCTCCACTACCCATTTCCATGTACTGCATTGTCTGCAATTACTCCAGCTTCTCTGCAAGTCCAGACCTCTTGACCCCTCTCTGTACAACTGGCAGGTCAGTGTGTCTCTGGCTGAATCTACTGATTTCCTGGCGGTACCAGTGGGGAAAGAGGAGGAATCCTACTGCATCTGCGTGAATGAAAGAAAAACTGTTGCTTGGGCAGTAACACCAAGATCTCTAGGTAAGAGACCAGATGACGAGAAGATACTGGGATCAGATAGCAGTGTATGGCACCAGATCTCTGGTGTGAGGAGACCTAGGTGACTCCAAACCTATTTGGAAGGATCTTTTCTATGTCAGAAGTCCAGCTCTGTGGTTGAGACACTACACTGGGTGTAGTGTTTCCAGGTCCTAAACAAATTATTTTTTTCCCAACATTTTCATGGAAATCACAGATTTCCTTAAGGCATGCAAAGAACTCGGACATTCCAGTCATGGAGCTAAGAATGTCTTGTCTTAATGTGTTTGGGTCTGAAATTATTTCATCAAAGCTTACTTTCTCTGAAGCCTCCCTGAAAAAGACCATTTGATTTATGAGACCTTCTCCATCACTACTCTTCATGCTGATGGACTAACACCTGCTTGGGTGGCCATCACAAAGGAGCTGATCTGGAAGGCTGCATCTGGATCAAGATAAAACCCTGTCTCAGATTTAGTTCTCCTCTTGGAAAAGCTTCTCTGTAGTGCATCACAGAGTTCCCAGCACAAACACAAACCCATATTTCCCTGGCTCTGCCTGGCAGGCCTGGCTGACCCCTGTTTCCTCCAGGGCAGGTGGAGTTCTCAGTGACCACTGAGGCCCTACAGAACCAGCAGCCCTGTGGGAACTACATTGTGGAGACCCCCAAGAAAGGGCGGAAGGACACGGTCGTCAGACAGCTGCTGGTGGAGGTATGGGGACTGCTCATTTTGGTGGCAAAGAAAAGTAGCAATAGTGCCAGCCAGAGCTGCTGTGTGATAAAGGTTTTCTGGTTTAGCCATGAGAGCAGCAATAATGGCTTGTGGGATTCATATTCTGCAAGCTCTTACAAAAGAAGCACTGATAAATCTAACACAGGCCAATAGAGCCCATAACTCATAATGCTGCCCTCTCACAGTCAAAGCAGGGTCTTACATTACATAGAGGGACAGGAATAATAAGGCAGGCAATAATGACAGGTTTTTCTGAGACACATCATATCAGAGATAAATGAGAAATCCTTGGGTTTGCCTGTAATAAATCACAGGGAAAGGCTGTGAATAGAACACTAGCCAGAAAGCTTATGCTTCTCCTCCAGCCCATGGCCAGTACTCTGGAATACGGAACAGTTGCTACAATCTACAAATATTTCTAAACAAAATTACCATCACTGTTTTGAATTGTTTTATTACACCTCTAAGAATGCTCAAAGCAGTGTAACTAACCTTTCATTTTTGCATTCTTTTGTGCATTTATTTTCTTAAGTAGTGTTTTACAATGATAAAAATATAGCTTTTCACATGGTAAGTTGCCAGTCATAAAATTAATTCTGAGTATAAGATTCACAGTGATGCTATTAGCAAACAAAAAGTACCAGCTTGTTGTAGAGGGAAATTTATATAATAATAAGTCCTCCTTACATTGCAGACATTCCAGTTTTCAGTAAGGCAGAGCTGAGATTCATGTAGCTTCAGGAAAC